AGCCCTGGAGATGGCTACTCCTCGCCAGCTATGTAATTGGTTTCTCTCTGAAGGAGTGGTTTTCATACGGTGTTAATCGATTGGCTAAGATGGGGAGGATGCACTGGTCTCCCATGCATTGTGACCGGGGTCTTGCCCACTAAATGCAGACTGCTCCTATGGAGAAAGATGAAGTGCTCTGCTAGCTTTCAAAAACAGGACAGCATCCTTGTTAATTATAAAGACATTGTGGCCTGTACACACACACACACACACACACACCACACACACACACACACACACACACACACACACACACACCACACCACACACACACACACACACACACACACACACACACACACACACACACACACACACACACACACACACACACACACACACACACACACACACACACACACACACACACACACATTCACACAAACATGTTTGCATATATTGGATATAGTGGAAAAACTATCCTTGTTACTCTCAAAGACGGTAACAGAAAAGGGCTACTTGGCCTATGAGCAGATGTTAGCAACACTAGCATGGGTTTGAAGATGAGGAAGAAAAGTGCACAGTGGATAATGCATCGTGTGATTCCCTGTGGTCATTATGCTAAAAGATTATTATTAAAAATAGTGACCTGGAAAGAATCTGATGAAAGCTCAGCAGCTAATATACCCAGAAAAAAGTAATTATTGTTCTCCTCCAGTGAGCTACCGCGTGCCAGTCTGGTAATTCCACAAACGCCTGTGTCCTGGATACAGATATGACTGTGAATGGTCTATTTAGTTAAGACCAGCGAGAGTCATTCAGAGCGGTCAGAGTAACACTATTTGACAATAGCATACACTGCTGGGTTCCTAGCATTTGGTTTTCAGTGCATGAACAGCACCTGAGTGGCCAAGGTCAATGATGTTTAATGTGTTCGGGTTCCCTCACCTCTCCACATCATCATACATTGTACGCTGACAGTACACAACCCTGGGTGTAATGGCTGTATTAGCCTGACACAAAAAACAGGGTCATTATTATTCAATGTGGTAGACATTGAGAGCTATGGGGGGGCTGCGCTCCGCCAAAGAGAGGAGTGTTGATTTGAGACAATTATTCGTGTGGGTGAAAACATGGACAAAACTAAGAGGGAAATAAACTCTGATAATGACTGTGTGTGTATATAACCACTCATCACTTGATGATACTATAACATTTGCAGAGAAATTATACTGAATCACAGAAATAATGAGGATTGAAAGGTAATTAGCAGATTCTTGCTTGCTCGTTCCCTCTAGTTATTCAAACAACAGTTTAGTGGTGAGACTGTCCAGTGTAAATTCAACAGAAAAACACATTATAATATGTTGAAACAAGACCAGCTATGGGTGCCTACTTGCTAAGTAATGACAGAAAGCTGATTACACTTTCATTAACCCAGAACCCATCGGCTCAAATGTTAAAGACTGGACTAGTGATAGCTTTCTCCCCATAGGAATATTTAACATTCTCTCTATTAAAAGGCACACTAAGTCTCCTAAAAGTACTTCAAACTTGTAGCTGGGGTTTAATTTTAACAATATAATATATAGTCATGGTTATGTTGGTTTATTTGCAATGCACCTCTCTCCTTACAGTAAAGTTTAAACCTTTAAATGATTTGGTATTTGATAATTACCACAAGAGTTATTGAGCGCAGACACGCTTTATGACCTGAAGACGGATTTAATAGTTGTTTTGGCTTCTCTGTTTCATGTAGCTAAAGAACACCTGCTGGAAAGGGGGGAAGAGTACTAGCTTGGAGCTAGGCCCATTGACTACTTATTGCATGTTTAATGAGTTATCCAGGTCCTTGAGGTAGATTTGATATCATGCTCATGCTATGTGTATTTTCTCCATTCCTGTTCATGTGTCTTCTCGCAATTATCACTGGCCCCGTGTATCTCCTAATCGCTATAACCGGCCTGCTCTCGTCTATCCCATATGCTCCACTGAGATCCAACATCTAGTTTCAGGTGGCCTGTGGAACTGCCAGTCAGCTGTTCCTAAGGCTGACTTCATCTCTGGCTATGCCTCCCTGCAGTCCCTGGATTTCCTTGCTCTCACTGAGACCTGGATTACTCCATTCAACACATCCACCCCAGCAGCTCTCTCTCCACAGCATATTCCTTCTCCCATACACCCAGACCCACTGGCAGAGGTGGTGGCACTGGTCTCCTGCTCTCTCCCAAATGGAGCTTTTCCCTCTTCAAGCTACCTAACTTCACTAACCATTGTTGTTCTCTACCGTCCACCAGGCGCCTTGGGGGACTTCTTGGAGGAATTAGATCATCTCCTCTCACACATCCCTGAAACTGGTCCTCCCGCTGTACTTCTTGGAGACTTCAACCTCCAGACAGGGAAGATAGACGAACTAACATCTCTGTTAACCGCCTTTGCTTTCTCACTGTCTCCTTCCCCACCAACTCATAAAGCTGGCAATGTCCTTGATCTCATATTCTCAAGGAACTGCGCTACTTCTAACCTCTCTGTAAACCCGCTCCACACATCCGATCACTTCTTAATTTCATTCTCTCTACCCCTTTCCAAACATAACAAACTAATCTCTTCTCATCCTGCACCTGTCCGCCGTAACCTTCGTTCCCTCTCCCCCTCTACCTTTGCCTCATCGGTGCTCTCAGCCCTCCCTTCCTCTGACTCGTTCCAACTGCTGCCTCCAAACTCTGCTGCAGAAACTCTCCTCTCTACTCTTTCATCCTCTCTGGACTCTCTCTGTCCTCTCACATCTCGGCAGGCTCGTCAGTCCCCTCCTGCTCCCTGGCTAAATGACGCACTGCGTGCTAATAGAACCGTCCTTAGGGCAGCAGAGCGGAAACGGTGGAAATCCAAACACCGTGACGACCTCCTAACCTATCAGGCTCTCCTCTCCTCTTTCTCTGCTTCGATCTCTCAGGCAAAAAGCACTTTCTTTCAAGATAAGATCCAATCTTCCTATTCCAATCCCAAAAAACTATTTTCCATCTTCTCCACCCTCTTGGACCCTCCCAAAGCCCCTCCCCCCTCCTCACTTCTGTCAAGCGACTTTGTTATCCACTTTGAAAAAAAGGTTGATTATATTCGCTCTTCTTTTTCTGACTCACCTTTACTCACCGCTGGGTCACCAGACCCTTCTTCCACCAACACACTAACCTCCTTTTCCCCTCTCTCTCCAAGTGAGGTTCTTACCCTCATTACCTCTGCCCGCCCTACCACCTGCCCTCTGGACCCTATCCCTTCAAACCTCCTTCAGACTATCGCTCCTGATATTCTACCGTTCCTCTCCCATTTCATCAACACTTCTCTAACTTCTGGTCACTTTCCAAACAGTCTCAAGGAGGCAAGAGTAAACCCTCTCCTAAAGAAACCCACTCTCAACCCGTCTGATGTTATAAACTATAGGCCTGTCTCTCTCCTCCCGTTCCTGTCTAAAACACTTGTACGCGCTGTCTTTAAACAACTCTCCTGTTATCTCCATCAGAACAACCTTCTGGATCCGCACCAGTCTGGTTTCAAGGCAGGTCACTCCACAGAAACTGCTCTCATTGCTGTCACTGAGGAACTGCACACTGCCAAAGCAGCATCCCTCTCCTCTGTCATCATCCTGTTGGACCTGTCTGCTGCATTCGACACGGTGAACCATCAGATCCTCCTTCGCACTCTCCAAAAACTTGGGGTTTCAGGCTCTGCACTTTCCCTCCTCACCTCATACCTCAAAGACCGTACCTACAGGGTAACTTGGAGAGGGTCTGAGTCCGACCCTTGTCAATAAACTACAGGGGTCCCTCAGGGCTCTGTTCTTGGTCCCCTCCTCTTCTCCCTGTACACAAACTCGCTCGGATCAGTCATTAGCCCGCATGGTTTTTCATACCACTGCTACGCTGACGACACCTAATTAATTCTGTCCTTTCCCCGCTCAGACCCAGGTCGTCGCATGCATCTCTGCTTGTCTAGCTGACATCTCTCAGTGGATGTCTGCTCATCACCTCAAGCTCAACCTTGACAAGACTGAGCTGCTTTTCCTTCCGGGAAAAGATTGTCCCACTCTTGACCTGACTATTAACATCGGCACCTGTTGTTTCCCCGACTCAGACTGCAAGGAATCTGGGTGTGATCCTAGATAACAACCTGTCCTTCACTGCAAACATTGCTGCTACAACCCGTTGCTGCAGATACACGCTTTACAACATCAGGAAGATACGTCCCCAGCTGACACAGAAAGCGACGCAAGTTCTGGTCCAGGCTCTCGTCATCTCACGCCAAGACTACTGCAACTCCCTCCTGGCTGGTCTACCTGCATGTGCCATCCGACCTCTGCAGCTCACCCAGAATGCAGCGGCTCGTTTGGTCTTCAACCTTCCTAATTTTTCACACACCACTCCGCTCCTCCGCTCCCTTCACTGGCTTCCGGTAACTGCTAGAATCCACTTCAAGACACTGGTACTTGCTTAACATGCTGGGAATGGATCTGGCCCTTCGTACATCCAGGACATGGTTAAACTGTATACCCCAGCGCGTGCACTACGCTCTGCATCAGCCAAACGACTCGCTGCACCCTCGCTGCGAGGGGGACCCAAGTTCCCATCAGCAAAAACACGTGGGTTTGCTATCCTGGCTCCAAAATGGTGGAATGAGCTCCCCATTGACATCAGGACAGCAGAAAGCTTACACACCTTCCGGCGCAGACTGAAAACTCATCTCTTTTGACTCCACCTCGAGCAATAGAATTATTAACAAAGCACTTATATACTAATAAAGGACTGGCTTATCTAAAGCCAGTTGAGTGGCACTTGAAATGTTTGGCTCTATGAAACCTGATGTACTTATATGATTCTGTTTTCTTCAAGGTTGTGTCTTCCTGGTCGAATGTACTTATGTTAAATGTGACAAGCTTACAGCTAGGTTTTCTCTATCTTGACATAAACCACTCCATGTGTGACTTCAATTTAAAGCTTCCTTTATCAGAAAGAAAATGTATTTACCTGTGACCTCCAGGGGAACTGTGTCCTGCTCATCGTTGATGCCCACCACGACCTCACAGCGGTACAGGCCCGAGTCGCTGGAGCGCAGCCCTGACAGAGCAAGACTGGCATTGTAGCGGTTCTCATTGTAACCAGGCAACATCACACGACCCTGAAAGGCCTTCTTCACCTGCAGGGAGGGAGAGAGAGAGGGGAGTAAGAATGAGACCACTTCACACCAGATATTTCCCACATGCCCGCCTTGAGTGTTTACTTTACCTTGACCACATTGTCTTTAGCCACCAGGACCGACTGCTCCTTCTGCAGGCCGTCGGAGCCTCTCTGGCCCCAGACCTTGGTCCACTTGATCCGGGGGGGCTCATGGGATGAACTGGCCCCGGGGCGCAGGGTGAAGAGGCAGGGGAGGAGAACAGCTTTGGACATCTCCTCGCTAATGGTCTGATGGGTCACTTTCCGCATATTCACCATGGTGTCTGCGTCGGTTACGCCTGACAAGAGAAAAAACAGAAGAGTCAATCAATGCAGTCTTGTAAATTAAGCCACTTGACGTTGCTTCTCATTACACTGAGAAGTCGTGAGTTAATTTCTTTTTGATGGAGAAAACATGCTCTCCTTCAAGGTTCCTTTGTTCTATCCGATCCTCCTGGTTGTGGAGTAAAGGGGACAGAACAGAGGCTCACTGTGGCGCTCTGCTTATCGGACATTGATCCAACAAACCATTACTGGGCTACCTGAACAGTGGGAGGCAGGGCAGGACCGTGGAGGATATCAAAAGTCCTTTCATATCAATCAATACCAACCCCCTGTTTGCAGCTCAAAGCACCACCACCACCATAAAGATATAAATATTACTTTCATCAAAACAACTGATGACAGAGAGAAACGTTGTCATTATAAATACATTCAGAGTGCGGTTTCGTTTCGAAAAGCTCTGGTATCAGATGTTTCTTTCAGTAAAATATTCCACTGCATTTTCCTTTGTTGTCATTTCTTCCAATTTACACTGACGGATTCACATTATACATTATCATCATAACCTACCCTAATCCTGTGTCACCTTGGCTGAAAAGACAGCGGTGGCTCATTTACATTAGAGAGGGGGGGATGTGAATTTCCCTCAGTAAAAACAGTGATACAGGTTATCATCTCTGAGCTCTATCTGCTTCAGTGTGCACAGTATGTGAATGAGGTTTACCTGTAAAGCCTAATCTCATCCTTCTCTAACGCCCTTATCAATTACTACTGAAAATGCCGGCCAAAAATGTCACTACTTTAAATCAAATATGCCTCAAAGCCCAGCATCAATGCATGGGTCTTCAAACAGCTCACCGCTTTTTTAGCCACTTAAAGGTGGGGTAGGTAAGTTTGAGAAACCGGTTCGAGATACACTTTTTGTTATATTCCACGGAATGCTCTTAACATCCCGATAGCAATGAATATTTTAAGTGCTTTGACAAAAAATCCATTAAAAAAACGTCATCTGTGGAAGCCGTAATACTGTAAAAAGTCAATCATTTGAGCCGGCCCGGCTAAAGTAACTGGATGGCCTACCTGCCTGTCAGCCTTCCATCTGTGCACAAACTTATCTCGTGCCCTCATTGGTCATGTGCGCGTTCGTGTGTGTTGGAGGAAGGGCTCTGTAAGGAAGTGGCAGATTTTTTCCGGCTGTGTATTTTCAAATTCTAGGGCACTCGAGCCGGTTTCTCCAAAATTACCTACCCCACCTTTAAGCATTGTGTGATAGCAGCGACTTTCTGTGAGTTAGTGCAAGATTTTGGTCCAGGTTGATATATTTCAGTAACTGTTAGACAGACTAGCAGGCAATTTAGTCCTGACACTCTCCAGAGGATGACTCCTACTGACTCTGGCTATAGCCCCTGACCGTTTTCTCTTGTGCAAACATTAGGATGACATTTGTGGTTTTGAGTGAAGCAAGACATGATGAATAGAAGAGGGAAAAGAATGAAAGGATATAAAGAAGCTCTCCCCAAGAGGGCGGCCCAGTTAAAAGGTGGAGAAAATGTGCCGATTGATTTATTTTCAATTGTGTCAGTTCCCACTGCACAATTTGTGTGTGTCCTGCTCCCTTACTGTGTGTTTGCATGCATGTTAAAACGCTACAGAGACCACGCCTCATGTCTGTAATTAAATGGCAATATTTTTCAAGCGGTCAAATACACACCGCAGAATGAGTCACTCAACCTTTCTGTCCTTCATTCATTCATTGTCCTCCCTCCTTCTCTTTCTCCTCTTCCTCCCCCTCAGTACGACCACCTGCCAGGTTTCAGATGAGCATTTCAGTTCTTCATTTATTTTTCATCTGGAAAAAGTGTTTTTATGGTTTATCTTCAGCCTATAGATAAAGCTGCGTTTTTGGTTTTCTTTCAGGATAAGATCTTCCCCTCAGCCATGCATAGAGAAATTCACTTCATGATTCAGATCAACTTTAAATCATTACCTCATCTGTGATTGCCCATTTTGCCAATGTGTGTTGGAGTGTGTGTGCACTGGAAAGCTTTTAAATGCAAACAAAATAAAATATATCTTCTGCTAGACCAATGAAAGCACATCCTCACACAAACGTAACATAAGCACAAATACACATCTTTGAAAGCCTCATTTTGTATCCCTAGCTGTATGGTTTGACTTTTGACGCAGACGTATAGATTGCTGTCATTGCTCCTGCAGCTGTTATGCCGTTACAGTTAAGGGTTTGAGTGCCTCTACACTGATAGCTTAACATCAGCCCTCCCATCCTATCTTCTCCTCCCAACAGACGCATGGACACACACACCCTCACATACCCTCTTCTTCCCCTTGCCCCAGTATCGTCATCTTAGACAAGCGCTACTTGTCTAACTCCCCCGACGACTGATCTATGTTGCTCTGCATCGCAGCATCGAAAGGATTTGTGCTCTGAAATGGCCTCTCGTTTCCCACTCGAGAGCATTTCAGCCCGCCAAGTGAGGTGACCTGAAGCAAAATGCACGAGGCTTTCAAAAACAGTGGGATGAGAGGAGAGGAGATGAGAGGAGAGGAGAGGTGAAGAATAACAAGGAAAGTGATGTGGGTTGGAAAAAATGTCCTTTATCCATTTTTGATTTCTTCTGAGAAAAAAGGCATACTAAAAGAATGGTTCTACATTTCTGGATAAAAAACTCTTGGTTGAGGCTGAAATGGAACGTTTTTTTTTATCAGTCTCATGTCGGTCCATCAACGATGACATGTCCCTTAACAAAATACACGTAATTGCACCTGTTTAGGTCACTGGTTGTGATTTTAGAAAAGAACAGAACAAGGTGGGCTGTTTTCACCTATTTCCAGTCTATATGCTAGGTTTGCTAGATTTAGATTTAGATTTAGGTTTTATCAATCTTTTCATCAAATTCTGAGCAAGAAAGTAAATAAGCATATTTCAAGAAACGTTGAACTGTTTTCTTATGTTTCCTAAAGGTTACAGGTTACTGTTAACAAATCAAGCTTCCCTAATACCAGTTGCATAGAATCATTATTTATAATGATAACAGTTTATTTGTCACAATTCAGATTTGTTTCTAATTCTAGATCTTGTTGGATTACCATTTCCAGTTTTATGGCACTTCAAATACTTTAGTGCCAACATGTTAAAAAGGACAATTATGTGAGTTACACTTGTTGACCACAAACTATTGATCTAAAGATAGATTGTATCCCACAGAATCTGCAATAGGAACAGGCGAACAGGAAAATGTATTCACTTTTGAAATTGTTTAACTTGATAGCAGTGGCATTGTATTTTTCTCTCACACTGTCAGAGGAATGCTGCCGGGAAGAGAAACTAGCAAAATGGACTGCAGCATAACACAGTGGAGGATTGTGAGCGCCAAGTGATGGATGGATGCAAGTGAGGAGAAATACAAAACAAAACAAATGAAGGAAAAGGCTCAAAATGGGTGAGTAACCGGGAAATTGAGGTGATGCGATGTGGAAAATAAGTCAAGAGGAGGTGATGGAAAGAGTAAAGATGCACTTTTGTGATTCAGCGGGAGGTGTGTTAAAACTGACGTATTGACACATTCATGCACACACACGAGCACATCCTTTATAAAAAGCTATCTCTTTTTACTCCCTGCTGTCACCCTCTTTGCTTTATCCCCCTCGAGGATGCAGCACTCATTTCTATTTACCACACACTCATGCATGTGCCCCTCCCTCTCAAACTCAAACTCAAACACACACACACACACACACACACACACACACACACACACACACACACACACACACACACACACACACACACACACACACACACACACACACACACACACACACACACACACACACACACACACACACACACACACACACACACAACAAATACTACTAGAAAACAAACAAACTGTAATTTCCTAACCACTTTGCCGAGAGCTTGCTATAAACAAAAACAGGCAAATGTATTCTCCGGCTAAGAAGCATCAATAATGTTTAATCTGCTTGCTAGTTTCTTGCAAGGTTCCACCTGGATAAGCACCATTTTGGTAACATTAAGCTGCTTATGTTGCAAATAGAAAGACAGTGCCACAAATGAAAGCAAACAAGCTCTACAATCACAGTGGCATTTATATCACCTATCCCCCTTTCACTCTTTCTGTCCACTTTATTTGGACACATATTCGTCTTTGTTCCTTCGCTGGTGTTGCAATTTGCACAACTAAATCAAATGAAATCAATTGGAGATCCCCTTTTGAAAGCCTTCATTATATTATAAAGGAGGCCAGGTGATAAAAAACTAAACAAAAAACATTGTTCTCCTTCTCTGTGCTAATGAATGTAAACTAGCGAGGGCCCCAATGCCAGTGCTATATCAAATCTGCATTTAGATGGAAATATTATCACAAGCTTAACCCCACAGAGGCTGTCTTTTGTTTGGATGTCTATCTGTGTTTCATATTGCTTTGTGTCACCCTTTTCTAAAACAGAGATCACCAGGGTGTTGGGTGATTCAAAAGGGGAGGAGCTGCTGGAGCTAAACGTCAGTACAAAAGAACAGTGCTAAGAGAAAAAGCGAATATGTGCTCATTGGATAGTGAAATCTAAGCCAGTCTTACGGGTCCTTTTTTAAATGTTAACAAGCTATCTTTTATTGACCTTGTGCTGTGTCTGTGTCTGGCTGTGTGAGTGTTGAGAAGGGCAGACTATGAGAGGACACACTTTCAACTCCTGCTATATCCAGTGTCTTTCACATAGAGCCTCGTATATCGTCTCTTTTTGTTCTGCTGGTTCACACAGTGGCATCTACGTGATCCATCCGTTGGCCCATCTGTCTTTGCTTTAGAGGTGCTCTCAAATGATTAAACACAGTCGGAGAGCCTTTAGTGTACGTGGCTGGCACAGAGCTGCACACAGGCACAGGGTGGGCGGTAACACATCCTTGACCTTGTCTGCTCCACCAACCTCCCAGTACTCGACCTCCACCCCTGCCCCTTTACCCTCTCTGACCACAAAC